GAAAAAAGCGACGCGACTCCCGTCTGTCGTCGGATACTAGCCTGCACTTGCTGAGATTGAGTTTGTAGATGTTATTGAGTTTGGTAAAGAAAAGATACAAAAAATAAAAATTATGGTAAAAATGTAATAAATTATGGTAAAAAAAATGCCTGATCGCCAAAAATGTGCCTAAGTATAACCAATGGCGGTACCATGAAGGGGCAGGGGGGGCAGTTGACCCCCCAAGAAAAAAAAAAAAAATTTTTTTAGCTATTTTGACCTAATATTTTTTGAATATTACTTTTGGCCCCCCCAAAGATTTTGTAAATACGTTTTTTAACCCTTAATTTTTTGTTTATTCTCCATAATTTCATATAAATTATAGATATATATCATATTATAGATATGTGTCGTAATTTTTTTCGCAGTATAAACCTATTTTTTCAATGTCTTGTGAACCTAAATTTTTTTTCGGGGCGCTGCCCCGAACCCTGAAATTTTAGTTAGCCCCCCCTACTTTCTAATCCTGGTTCCGCCCCTGAGTATAACCACCCATCAAATTATTAACAAAAACGTACAACAAGACGAAACAAGATTGTTTACTTTGGTTGTAAGCAAACAAGTTGGTTTTGAAGATTCTATTTCGTTGAAATTTGACCATTAATGTGGAATTGCTTCTTCAAGATGCATGGGGAACCTATTAAATCAGGTTAGCTTTTCTATCTTCTCAATATTTTCATGTTGCTTGTGTATGTGAGATTGGGAGGTGGTCGAGGGAGATTAGCAATGGCTATGAATTTACTTATAAATAACCGATTTGAAAGCCGATTATTTCCTATGGAGTTCACTCGGTTATCGTCGAATGCCTATTTCACACTTAATATATACCTTTTTACGAGAATCTCATATAATTTGATTGATTTATGATGCTCAATTCTTGGTTTATGGTATTTTAGGTACAATTGCAAGATTCGAGAGTTTTAAGGATGAAATGAGCGAAAAATTGTCAAAAACGGACAAAAACGGAAGAAAACAATTGGAAGCTAAATATTGGCCTGGCACGGCCGTGTGAGATTTAGCCTATTTTTGGCACGGCCGTGCCAACTACAGAAATTGGGCAGAAAGCTTCTGGATTTGAGACGACCGTGTGAGATTTAGCCTATTTTTGGCACGGCCGTGCCAACTACAGAAATTGGGCAGAAAGCTTCTGGATTTGAGACGGCCGTGTGAGAATTGTATTGATTCTCGCGCGGCCATGCGAGAACACGCTGGAGACAATTTTGGAGTTTTAATCACACAAGGAAACCTAAAATCTTTTACCAAGTTAGAACATCTATTTAAGGGCAAACCAGACACGAATTAAAGGACTTTTGAACACAATCTTAGAGCAAGAGGAGCGAGAGAACGGAGAAACGAAGACGAAGACCTGACGAATCTTCATCATAATTCTTCGTTCATCTATATTTTCTAAATCTATGACTTTTATTACTTTTATTATGTTTTTCGTAGAGAATATGAGTAGCTAAGTTTTTAATCTAGGATTTTGTTGGAACCCTATGTGGGAATGGTGAACCCGTTTTCTTGAGATTATGCAATTATGATGTTATGATTATTTCTTCTACTTGTTATGATTGTTAGTGCATGAACCTGATCAATTTATGTTCTTTATCTGTGATTATTGGGATTGACTCGGCAAAGCTATTTTGATAATTAGACGTTAAGTAAAAGAACCTTCGAGTAGTTTTCACCGTATTAGTGCGTTAATTGCATGTGGTCTCGTAGACATACTGATATTCACCTTAGGTGATTGTTGAGACTTATGCTTTAATGCTTTATTCATGATCGGATTGCATAGAGACATATAGTAATTTGGTTTTGGATATAGAATTGTAATACACGCGACAGCGGGTTATAATTAATATAGTGTCTTAGGTTAATAATCAGGAATCATATATTTCATAATTGAGGGGTTTTGGGTGAGCAATTCTTGCATAGGGGAAGATAAATCTTAGGTCCGTTTTTATTGATATTTTCTCGTATTTATTTGCTTTCATAATTAGTTTAATTATTTAGTTAATTATATTTGACAACTTTGCGTAAGCTGAATAAAAATCATAGTTATTAGAATTCGGTACTTAGGATTAGATAATTTGAGTATTCTCTGTGGGATCGACATTTCTCACGAGTTCACTTTTACTACTTGTTTACGATACGTGCACTTGCGTGTTAAGTATTTAGTCCAACAGTTATATACTCGACAAAATAGCGCCCGAGTTGGTAATGGGGTGCCCACCCCCCTATCAGTACTCCGAAAGCAAATCTCGATTTCTTCCTCACAGTAAATATCATTAAAGAATTCGTCTTTCAAGAAGTTGGCCACCATAGGTTCATTCTTGAAGCCACCCTTTTTATTATGTTTCTTTTTCGTTTATTATAATTTTAATTAAAATTGGTGATATTATTGTGTGACGTATTATGAACTAATTAACATAGTTTGATGATACTAATGCAGGGATCTTAAAACAACAGTAGGTGGATTTCCTAGGCCTTTGCTGGTTTTTAGTGCCAAAAACATTGCGAATATATTTGATGAAGCATTTGGTTACGAACTAGAGCCCCCTCTCGACCCATACCGTGACAGTCTAAGTTAAATGTTGGCTTCATATTTAGTTCCGCATGTCGGATTACTTGGCTATGTGACCACTAATCCTAACATGATCGGCCACGTAAACGTTTCCAAACGTTTCTTGGACGACCCTCTCAATCTTATGTTAGATTTTTCCCTTTGTTACGGCCTGGGAATTAACTTAAATATTCAGACGGCCGTCTCAAGTTTTTTTTTTTTTTCTTCAGCTGGTTCTCTTTAATTCTTACCTGATTTTGACCATTTTTTACCGTTCCATCTTCTAGACTCTTCTTCAATGTGTACGTCAAATACAATAACTAAGTCATTAAGCAGCATTAATCAATAAAATTCCAAAAAAACCTTATATTATAAGTACAAATTGAGTGTAAAACCTATCCTCACACAAGGGTAATTGAGCCCGTATTAATTATAGTGAGATCAAATCACTAAATACAATTATGTAACAATGAATTAAAACTAGTGGTTTCAAGTTCAACATTACCCTTGCTACGAAAATAATTATTGTCACAAAACAGAAACAATATGAGAATTGAAAAGATGATATATACATATAGCATAAGTATCCATCTAAATTGGTTGGCATGTCACAATTTGGCAATATTAAGCAACGCTACATGTCATTTCCATATCAAGACAACCAAACCCCACTCAATTAATAAGTGGCCTAACAGAACTCAAAATTGTATCACAAATCAGCTTCTATTCAAAGCATTGGGAATTATTCAGTCCACCAATTAAAACAAATTTAAATTAATAAATGAAAAAAAAAATAAAAGATTTCTTAATCTCATCTTAAAAGGAAAAAAACAAATAAATTGCAATATAATATATAAAATTTCATTTACCCTTGAGTCTTTACAGAATCTACTATGCTTCATTTATTTTGTTATTCTTGTTCTTATTGTAGCTTTACTAATTTGCCTTTGCAAAAAGAGTGAAGAATAAAGATGACAAAATTACCCATATAAATTTTACCAATCGAAAGGTACAAGTTAAATTGATGAGATATTAGTTTATTTTTTGTCTTGTGACTACTTACAGTTGATAGAATTTTATTTTAATTTCTAAATTATGAAAATAAAAGAAATAAAACACCAATTATACCACTAAATATGGAAGCGAGTGGCGATTACGGGTAGAAATTGGATAAAACGGTCGATTCGGTAAAAAGATCCGATTCTTGCTGAAGTGAAAAACTAGTTCTTACTTCGTTCCACAAAAAATGTAGAAAAATTAGAAATTGGAATTTTACAATTTGGAATAAAAATGAGTGTTTCCAAATCCAAAAGAATCGGTCAAAACCGGTGGAATTCGAGAGAATAATTCCAATTTCCAACTATTGTGATGATCATATTATTATTATTATTATTATTATTATTATTATTATTATTATTATTATTATTATTATTATTATTATTATTATTATTATTATTATTATTATTAGGGCAAATTACGACAACTCCTGAGTTATAGTTAAATTACGAAAACCCTTATTGTGTTTGGGTAATCACAGCCACCCCCCAACTATGTATTATTTTAGGAAAATTCTCTTCCAAAACCTCTTCAGAGGTAAATTTACCGAACCAAAATTTGGGTACGGCAGCATTTCATACCGTTTACGAAACTGAATATTAGTTCGGTAAATAACCGAATTATATAAATTTTATATAAAAATATTTAAAACGAGGGAGGTGATTATAATTATCCAAACAAGAATAATTTTTTCGTAGGTGCCGTAATTTGCCATTACTTTTAACCCTTATTATTATTATTATTCTTATTATGATGGTTATAAAGTTTGAATAGCTTTTGTAGATCTCATCACACCAAATCCAGCTGTAGTTTAGGTGGTACCTGGCTGTGGGCTGTGGCTATGGCTGGCTCTCCATAAATTCAACTACACGAATCTTTTATTTATATTTATTAAATACAACAATATTTAATGAAAATTCAATAATAGTGTCAATCACTTAATAATAAATTATATTTAAGAAGAAAAAAAAGTCGACACTCTATTTGATTAATTTTTAATTTCTAATAAAATCTAGGGTCAGCTTTAGATCTAAAAAATTTGTTCAATCAAACAATTTGATTATTTATAATAACGTTTACGAGCAAAATAATAATAAAATATAATATGATATATATGAATATGAGTGTGAATTATTATTGACAAAAAAAGGCGAACAAAAATATAAAAAATTGTGCACACAGCAAATTATTCAACATAACGAACAGTTTCATCTTCCTGCCTAATTTATCGTATACCAAACACCACCTCTCCAAAAATAAAAATTAAAAAATTAAAAAAATTAAAAAAATAAAAAATAATATAATAACCGGTGAAGCGATTTTTTCCGCTGGTATTCATGTTTCATTGAGTGATGGCGCTGCAGCCGCGGTTGTACGGATTAGCCTGGGCGCCGGGGCGGCAGTTGTAGTAAGACGCGCCGCGCCTCGAGCAGGGCACGCTGTCACTCTCCAGCGCACCGTAGCTGATGAAGCGGCGGGTGGCTAAGATGCGCCGATTGGACTCCGAATCCATCTCGAATTCCTCGTCTTCGTTACCGAGGCACTCGGCGACGGTCCCCTTGCAGCCGGATCTCGCCGACGGCATCACCCACCCCACCGCCGCCGCCGCCGCGTCGCGGTGGTCCCCACCGGCCGACGCTTGGGCGAGTAATAGGGACGCGGTGAAGCAGATCGCGAGTAGGATTTTCCACGCGCCTACCATTTCCCGATCGGTTATTTGCGGCACTGATTTCTGCGAAATCCTTGGCGGATGGGTTGTTTCTCTCTCTAGATTTTCTGTATGTTCTTTTAATTGGCTTGAGTTTAGAGAGAGAAGAAAGGAACAAACAATTTGTGAAGTGGAGTTGGACACTCAAATTTAATTTATATGTGTGGTCGCGGAAAAAACTAAAAAGAAAAGTGGGCTTAATATAATATAATATAATGGGCTAATGCTATTGGTGTATACTACGATAATGCCACTGGAAATTGAAAGGCTTTGGTTTGTATATTTGTAGCTGTTTACAGCTTTTCCATCCCTTTTTTTATTTTTTATTTTTTTCATATATATAATATATAATTTTTCTTCCATAAAAAAAATAAGTAAAAGCGTTCTTGTTGCCTAATAAAATGACGATTCTTTTTGAAAACTATGGATATTGAAAATGACCGTTGAAGTGTCTGTCAGCCAGTCAGTCAGAGGTTCCTTCTCATTTCCAAATTAAATGCTCTGTTGTTTTTTTTGGCCATAGTGGCTTTAACTCAAATTTACCATTTCAGTTACTTTTGCTGGTATTTCTTCAATATAATTTTTAAAAGGGGTTATAGCACATTAAAATTGGGGTTTTTGTTACTAAATACCTAATTAATCAATAGAAACGTTTTTGGGTCATTTCCATAAGTTTTTTTTCAACTCTATATAATCCCTACTTTTATATATGGCTTACAGTTCACTCATTAACCCAGTCGAAATGTCTGGAATACCTCTTTCTCTTTAATACGAAATTACACCAGCCCAATCTATTCCTCTTCAGAAAACGTTTTTTTTGTCAAAATGTGCCAAACAAAAACACATTTTTTTGTTATGTTTTTGTCAACCCGCTTTTCAGACTCGACGTTTGGAATACCTGCGTAGAAGAACTGATTGACGACGAGAAAAAAAGAAGAGAGATTATAAAGAGCAAAAAAGGAAGAAGAAGATATACAAAAATACTCCAGACTCGTCTTCAACTTTGAAGTAGAAAAAATACGAAAAATAACTTGCTTTGAAGGTTCGGTTCTTGCTCTGAAACAATTTCATGTTTGTTTGAAAAAATATTGAAACCCAATTTGAAAAACCCTAAAATTACATTAAAAAAAATTGTGCTTTTGTTGCTGAAGTAAAACCCCTTCGCAAAAACGCCTTATTTTTTGGTCGAAAGGAAAGGTTTTGAGTATTTAAGTGGATGGCTGTTCTGATTACAAATGTTTAGTTTGTTGTAAGAGACATGTGCGTTTATACGCAGACCCTTTTAGTCGGCAAAACTTTGTCTTTTTAGTTTTTTGAGTTTGATTATTAGTTTTTAAGTGGTAGTTGTCAAAATTACAGAGCATTTTTGTATTCGAAAGTATTCTGTAGTGTTTAGGTGTGATCCGCCCTAAAACTTCCTTGCCTCCTCGGACGGTCGTCTGTGGAAATAAGCTTACACAACAACTGGGCATGTTTGCACTACAAAGAAAGGAACAGGACTAACGTCGATCAAGTTATTGGAGAAAAAGACACTTTTCAAAGTAGAATTTTTAATAGTATTGTTAGAAGAGATAGATGAACATGCATTTGTACGTGTGTAACCCCCTATTTATAATACTTATC